CATTAAAACACCACAGTGTATAAAGGTATTATCATTAAAAAATATATAAAAAGACAATGCATCTGAATTTGTGCAGACAGTAAACACTGTCTAACAGTATAATCTCTTCTAATTGTTGTAGCAGCCTGTAATCATGTTTTTGTTCACTTTTTATTAGGTAAGTCTATAAAAATATATATAAACCTGTTTATTAAGTAAACTGAGGTTTCAAATTCAACCTCTAGTAAATTTAATTAAAAGATTTCACACAAACAGTAAAATAAGCTAAAGGTTTCTCCTTGTTTTTACATAGATCCTGAAATACTTCTTTTCTATAATCGGAGAAGTTTATTTATTATAAAGCATGTTTAAGTTCAGTGTGTAAAGACACCAAGTGCCCAACCCTGCTGTCGCTTCACAAACTGGAATAGACACACACACCCAAAAACACACAGCGAAGGAATGTCTGAATGTGTTTTTTTCCTGGATCTAAAAGTGACTTTTAACAAACCACATTCTTCCCTAGCCTCTAACGCCCTGAGTGACCTCGCTTCAAATTCAGCCCAGCGTTTAACTGCACCGCCATCTCTGAACGGTGCACGATGAAAAAAACAACAACCACAGAAGCACATAAGAACACGCACTCGTATGCACACAACCAGGTCAAATGCAGAGCAAATCCCTCTGAGTTATGTAACAGCCACGCTCCACGCTCAACCCAGACTCTCAAACGTAACGGGGGGGGGAGGGGACTTGCTCACGTTGAAATGAGGGAAGTTTCTCACGTGGTCAGGGTAGGCGTTTTACGGCTCCGAGGCTTATCGTTTTACATTTCAGCCCAACGCATCGACACAGGAAGCTTTGAATTCCATTAGAACACTTGCAGAAATAACTGAGGAACTGCTTTGTTCCTCACAGGTTAATAAAACCAGCCCTGTGAACGGTGGGTGTGTGCTGGCTGATGTGCAACACAATGTTTGCAGACTCTGCAAACACGTTCCTGACCTAGCAGCTATTTGATGAACTGTTCGGTAAGGACGCAAAGATATTAACTTTCCAGCTTGGTGTCATATGGGCAAGCAAACAAAAAAAGTTACCATCAAACAGTTGTGGCCACCCTGGAATGTGACACGGCAACTTGGCCGTGACGAATCATCAACAAATAACAGAACAGTGTGTTTCAAATTGGGAAATGTCAAACATGTTTCACTTTATACCGTCTAAATTTCTTTTCCTTTTTTGTAATTAGACCGAGTCCTTGATGAATTCTGCGTCACAACATGCGCTTATGAGCTTAAGGTCCTTTTGCACAACAGTAAAGTCCTTTTGCACAACAGTGTTGTGTGAAGTTTGGAACCTTGTTTCATAATCATGTTCTCTTCTAGCCTTTCACGTTGGTTTTTGTGCACATTTTAGTTCAACGTTTTACAAACGCACAGAAGAGATCCAGGTGTGATGGTGTGAGATAAGCAGGAAACAGTACTTGCATGCACGGAGAAATGAATGAAGCAGCTCAACCGAAAAATGCAACAGACAAAAGGGCCAAAAGTGAAAGGCATGTGAAGAAACTCCCAATGAGAGTGTGCGGTCCATTTCATATTACATAAGCATGAGGAGGACTTGAACACACGGTGAGACAACATATACAAGCACCAACTGTGGAAATGAGTTAGATCTTTATGACTTCAGAATGTGACAAATGACTAGGGGTGCACGATAGTTATCGGCTCGATATCAGGAGATTATGACGTCATACTTATCGCTCCGATATCATAACAAACAGAACCGATAATATATGTACACGTTTGCCAGCGCGGCAGTGATTGTGCTTATTTTTTTTATCCGTTTTGGTCATGCTGCTCCCTGTCCTGCCCGACCCGCGCAACGTTCAAGTTGCGTCGGAAAAAACAACTTTCTCACTAAAGAAATAATTAAAATTCTCCGTGCTGGAAAACAACCCATTATTTTAATAATTATTAATATTTTACTAATTAACCCTGTATGTTACACACAAACTTTATAATTATAAACATCGGAACAACTACTCCCAATTTGAGAACATGTAATGTCCGTTTCCTCCTGAATGCAGCACAAAGTCCGTTCTGTTAAAATGCTAACAACAACAAGCTAGTGTTCAAGAACTCATTGGGATTTAAATCACTGCTGAGGCTTTTGAAAAAATCAAAAAAAAAATTGCCCGAGACCACGCAGATCTCAAGCAATTTAACAAGGAAATGATGAAGCTTGACAACCAGCCGTTCACCCTCGCTAAAGACCGAAGCTTTTATCTCCTTGTTAGCCACGGTTTACCATCGTTAGCCACCGTTTTCCATCGTTAGCCGCCGTTTTCCATCGTTAGCCGCGGTTTACCATCGTTAGCCACTGTTTACCATCGTTAGCCACTGTTTACCATCGTTAGCCACTGTTTACCATCGTTAGCCAC